ATCCCAAATTTACTTTTTGAAGTTTCCAACTAGCTTTTTGCTTTGAGATTCGTACCCGATCAAGATAATTTTTTTGATGATATATCAATATTACATCATAGTACATCACTTTCAACCCTTTTTTAGTATAGATTTCCCCTGCTCATTTTTACCCAGAAGTTCATATACACATATTTAATAGGTAAAAATCTAACATATATAATAAAATCATATCATATTATTCAGAATGATTAAATTTATAATATATCATGAAACCATGACATGATGAATTTTTATCTTATTTAGGAGAAATAAAATTCATAAAAATTTAAATAATAAAAATAGAAGTAATAGGATAGTTAGTGAACGAATATAACAATTTTCATAAAAAGAATGTCAAATAAAAAATGCCCATATCGACTTTCTCTCTCTTCCTTCTCGCATCCCTCTCCCTTTCCCCCTTCTTTTTCTTAAGCAAGTCATGACAAAAAATGAGGCGTTGAGAGAGCTGACAAGGATATTTATAATAAAATGTATGTAAAAATATTGTTAGTGGCCTAACACCGTAGTGTTTAGATCCAGCACTACATCGTTGCATGCATAATTTAAAATTACTGTATAAACATAAACTCAAACTCCGCAACGGCTTTCTTAGTGCTGTTGTGCTATCAAACCTAGCATCATAATACTCACAAGCATAACGTCAAAGTACACTAGTTCAAATATAAATTTAAAAATTCATATTTTAAAATACTTATTATTTTTTGGTTGTTATAGAAACCCCATCATAAAATAATGTCAGAAACAATACAAAATGAATAGGCGCATATTTAATCAATTAAAAAACGCCATTGGGGAAGAAGTCTAGATTAAGCCATTTATAATTTCAAATAACATAACAAAGAAGCCATTAAAAATTGTATAAAAAGGTGAAAATTTTTCATGTAATAATTTGCTTTGTCCTTTCAAAGTACACATAGGGTCTGAAAGAGTAGAAATCTTGGCACCATCAAGATGTTAGCTATCATAATAGCAATAGCTTTTTTGGTGTTCCCTCAAGTAACCAAGGTCTTCGAGGAAGGATGGTTCTAAAAATTCCCATAATTATAAGACTACCAGCAAGTAATACAAAACTAGAGAGCAGCTAGAAAAAGATAGTAGATTGATACCATCTAACTTTATAGGTTTGCAAGTGTTGGTCCAAGAAATCAAAAGCATTTTTTTCACTTTGATATCCCCGTGATATAAGAATTTGGAAAACACAATCTATTAATAAGCTTGCAACAACTTTTAGGTGAAATGGCGCCACGAATTCAATAGACAATGCAATTCAATATGTTGCACTTTAGGTATTGCAACCTACCCACAAAAGAGAGAGTTTTAGCTTTTCAGTCCTCTAAGATTGTAGTTTTACTCAATAGGGTGTTAAAATCATACATACGAAGCCTTTTGATAGAGAGAGGGACCCCAAATAAGTGATGGTTCTATTGGAATTAGAGATATTAATTAACTCTCTAAGATTTTGTTGGTTAAGGGAGTTTTTTGAGAATGTGATGAAGCTCTTAAGGGGATTAAGAGTTAACCATATAAGTTTTTTAAATGCATTAGAATGTTATTTGAACCTAAATTTTATGTGGGCTAGCTATCTTTATCAAAGAGAAATAAGTTTTCTGCATATAACAAATAAGAAAGGTGAAGCTCGTCCATATGATGGATACCTCCATATATAGTCTTGGGAGAAAATAGCAGAATCAAACAAGTTGGAAAGCTCATTCATAATAATACAAAACAAATAGAGGTACAATGGACACCTCTTTTTGAAATATGAAGAGTAACCCTCAAGATTATCATTGATGCTCACAGAGAAATCAAAATAATAAAAGTTTTAACCCAACCAATAAATATTTGAGATAAGCCTTTCTATTTCATTCTCTGAACAAGAAAATCTCTAGTATAAAAAAAAGTCTATTTTTGTTGCCTTTGAACTCATCCAAAATCTCTTTAGTAAATAAAATATTATTATATAATAATATAAAATAAATAGGGAGATAATGTAGAAACTCAAGAACTCATGGACATCTTACAAGAACGAGCTGAAGAAGATAAACAGTAAAAGTAAAATATATTGTATTATTTTCTTGTCTTGTGAGTACAGCCCCTATGTCTATTTATAATGAATATTACTATAGATGGGACACGTGTAGTTCCCTGATAGGATTACAAGTGTACTGGTTTCTTAGCTTGTTTTACTGTCCTAATATTCCCCCTCAAACGGAACATTGGGACTAATGGTAAGTTTGGAGCGGAGAGTTTTAAACCGAAGAGTAGCTAATGGCTTAGTTAAAATGTCGGCCAGTTGATCTATTGTGCTGATGGGCAGCAAACGAATGGTGTGTCGTTGAATGTGGTCACGGATGAATCTTTAATCAATTTCAATGTGCTTGGTTCGGGCGTGGAAGACGGGATTGTTGGCCAAAGCAATGGTGGATGTATTATCGCAGAAGATGTCCACCGGTTGAGGATGTGGAATGCGAAAATTTGCAAGAAGTTTCTTGATCCAAATTGTATCAGCTGTTGTCGACGCCAATGCTCGGTATTCCGACTCTGTAGAAGAGCGGGATACAGTCGGTTGCTTCTTCACCGTCCAGGAAACTAACGTGTTACCCAAAAAAGTGCAAAATCCTGATGTAGACTTTCTGGTGATTAGATCCGAAGCCCAGTCGGCGTCCAAAAACGATCGAAGTAAAAGATTTGATCGGGTGATAGGAAGACCGAAATCAGTAGTTCCTTTGATGTATCTGATCAGTTTCTTCAACAGTGCGGTGTGGTAGGTAGACGGATCATGCATATGCTGAGAGATAGCGTTGACAGCGTACGCGATGTCTGGTCGGGTCAACGTTAGATATTGAAGTGACCCAATGATAGTTCGGTAGGCTTTTGTGGTGAAACACGGTGGTTCATCGGAGGCCACAGCTGGAGGTTTGGTAACAGAAGGATTAGAGACCGAGTTGCATCATTGCAGCTCGGCCATTTGTATAATAGAGTTTGCGTAATGGGTTTGAGAGAGAAAGAACTTATCTGGTGTAGTGTCGATCTTAATTCCCAAGAAATAATTTGCAATCCCAAGAATTTTCATTGTGAACTTGGAACGTAGTTGAGCGATGAGAGCATTCATTGCACTGATGTCGTTGCCCGTTATTAGAATGTCATCAACGTACACCAGTAGATATATTTGGGTTTGGTCTCGATGAAGAATTAGCAAGGAAGGATCCGCTTGGCTGTGTTGGAACCTGAGATGAAGAAGATGTGTAGTGAACTTAGTGTACCATTGTCGTGGAGCTTGCCGCAGGCCATAAATGGCCTTACGGAGACGACACACATGAGTGGGGTTGGAAGAGTCTTCAAACCCTTTCGGTTGCCTCATGTATACAATTTCGTTGATGTCCCCGTGCAAGAAGGCATTTGCCACGTCCAATTGTTGTATTTGCCATTTGTAAAACAGGGCAATAGTAAACAGAATTCTAATGGTTGGTAGCTTGGCTACCGGACTAAACGTGTCATGAAAATCAAGACCGTATTCTTGTTGGTTGCCGAGAGCCACCAGTCTTGCCTTGTAGCGGGCGACTGATCCATCTGAATTATATTTAGTTCGGTAAGTCCATTTGGATCCAATAATTGATCCATTAGATGGAGACGGCACTAGATCCCGCGTCCCCTGTTTTTGTAGTGCAAAGAACTCCTCGGCCATGGTCCGACGTCACTCAAGCTTTTTAATAGCTATGCTGTATGACGTTGGGTCAGTGTGCGTGTTTTCTTGATGCAGTAGATTAAGTTTATTGATGGGTTTAAGCGATCCCGTTTGCCGACGTGTGGTCATGTGATGGTGCTTCGGTGTGCTGGGGATCGGAGATGGTTGTGGACAACTGGGAGATTCCGGTCTGACAGTGTTAGGAGCTGGAACATGATTCTGTTTGCTCGAACTCGGAGGCTGTAGACAGTAGTTGGGAGACCTGTCGCTGTGTAGTGATGGTTGTATTACTGAAGGAGGGATCAATAGAGATGGTGGAGACACGCCTTGTATCGGATGTTCTTGAGCAGACCTATTTTTGAAAGGAAAATTATTTTCATTAAATTTCACATGCCTGGATATAACAATTTTGTTAGTAGCCTGATTGAGACACTTGTAACCTTTCATTGATTCGGAATAAACCATGAATGTGCATAAATGAGACGTGGGTGTAAGTTTAGTACGATGCGTCGGAGGAAGAAGAGGATAGCATTCGCATCTGAAAGTTCGAAGATGGGCGTAGGATGGTGTGATTTGGAACATTCTTTGGAGCGGAGACAGTTGCTCAGTTGTTATCGAAGGAAGGTGATTTATAAGGTAGATGGCGGTGGTAGCCGCCTCCAGCCAATATGTTAACGGTAGACACTCGTTCTGAAGAAGCGTGCGGGTAATGGTGATAATATGCCGATGCTTTCGTTCGGCAATCCCGTTCTGTTCGGGACTATAGCCCCTATGTCTATTTATAATGAATATTACTATAGATGGGACACGTCTAGTTCCCTGATAGGATTACAAGTGTACCGGTTGCTTGGTTTGTTTTACTGTCCTAATAGATAATGGATACCTTTGTGTAAGATAGAGGAGTTAAAAAAGCCCTCAAAATTTTTTAAGAATCTTAATAATAATTTTTGAGATTTTTGAATCTAACTCTCAATCACACGTGATTTTTTCTTTTTCGAAGGATGTGAGTTGAAAATGGTAGATTTTTTTTTTATTATTTTTGGCTTTTTTTGACTTTTTGAGGATTTAGAGATTACGAGTAGGGGTAGAGTTGTACTTTCGAATGAGAACGCCATTGCCCGCGCCGGCGGTACAGCCCACATGGAAATTTATAAACTAAGCCTCCTCTTCTCTTCACTACCGCCCCACAAGTTAAAAGTGGGTTGGAACTCGGGCGCGCGAGGAAGAAGCGGAAAGAAAGTGAGAGGAAAGCGTGAGAGAGAGAGAGTTTTGCTGCTTCTTTATCCGCTTGTTCAATTTTCCCCTCTCCTACTGGGTATCCTTTTAATCGTTTGATTTAGCGGGTAGGATTTTATGGCGCAAGGTGCGAGGTAGCTGCTGCAGCAAGAGCACCAAATGGGTCGAGCGACAAGGTGGTTTCTTGGGCTTCTCGGTGGAAAGAAGTCGACCGCTGGCTGCTTGCCGGGGGAAAATCGGCCGGTCAAGGAGAAGAAGAGATGGGGGTTCGTGAAGTCGTTCCGAGAGAAGGACAAAGCTCAGCAGCAAAAACAATGGCCGCCGCCGATAACGACGCCTCCGTCGGAGCAGAGAAAGGGTTCGTATAGGGAGAGAAGGATGGGGTCGCTTTCGGAAGGCGACGAACAAGGAAAGCGCGCCATTGCCGTGGCTGCAGCGACTGCAGCCGCCGCAGAAGCCGCGGTTGCCGCCGCTCAGGCAGCTGCCGCTGTGGTACGGCTCACGACAAGCGGCAGGTCTGTCGGATTCAGCTCGTCAGGAGGGTTAAAACGGGACGAGTGGGCTGCCATCAAGATCCAGGCGGCATTCCGTGGTTATTTGGTAAGTGCCTACCATACATACTTAAGAAAACTATTAACTTTCTTCTTCCCCTCTGGGAAGATATCATTTGTTCCATAATTTTATCCATTTACCACTGAGCTGTAGCTTTGATACCGGAAATATGGCGATTCCAGTGGGCAATAACGTGTGATCACATAATCCACCAGTTGGGCATTTCCTCGAATAGCTTACGGGCATTTGGCATATTCCCTGTTTTTTTCTCGGGCGCTGAGCATCGTTGCGTGATTCCCTGGATTCGGTCACTCGAAAGCTTTCTTTTTGCACGACGGCTTTATCGAATTTTTTGTTTATCGGTCGTCAACCCGCTCCGTTTCATCCTTTTATCTTCTCCGCTTTTAATCATTATTAATAATTCCCTTTTGAAGGAAAGGAAGCTTTTAGCTTTCCTTAGGGAGATAGAGCAACTCCTAAGGCTACAGATTCGTTTCCTATAAATGGGTCGCATTTAATCCAGCGGTTTTGGAGTAGGTCCATTGACCCGTCTTCTTCGCTGCTGCATTTAGTAGAAGCTCAAGCCGTTAGTAATGGCGGGGACTGTACCTGAGTTTTTTTTTTCAGTTAAGATAAATTCACCCATACCTCACATACAAGCAAGACTTTAACCCAAAATTTCTTAATTAATAACCAAAATTCTCAATCAGCAGATCAAAATGAGCTGCATTGGGCCTGAAACTTCTCTTCGTCTACAGAAAGTAGTTAATTCTACTTTAGAAGTCCACCGACGGATGTCAAAGTCTTTACATTTTCTTTCAAGAGAAACAGAACTGTTGCGGTGTTTGTTAAAAGCCTATTCTTTACTTCTAACTCTTCCTCACCTACTCCCCCACCGATATTTGACTCATGGTCATTCTCAGTCAATGTCGTGGTCCAAATCCAACTCTGTTCTTCCATGTGAGGATCAAGAATTCCACTCAATCTCCATGGCATTCACACTAATAAAACATTTACTGTAAATTTGATTTTTTTTTCTTTTTTTTCTTTTTTAACTTTTAAGGCGAGGAGAGCTCTGAGAGCGCTGAGAGGACTGGTAAAGCTTCAGGCTTTAGTCAGAGGAAATATTGTAAGGAAGCAGGCTGCGGAGACTCTCCGATGCATGCAAGCTCTTGTTAGGGTTCAGGCCCGTGCCCGTACCTGCCGGGCGCTTCTCTCTGAAACCAGCAGATCCAGCAAGAGCTCACGATCTAATCCTGTAAGCAATCCACGGCTCAGTTCTCTTCAAATTTCAATTTTTATTTCTGCGCTCATTTTCTGTTTCCTTGCAGGGTCCTCCTACTCCTGAGAAATATGAGTCTACAATGCGCTCCAATGCCTCGAAGACTAATCCATCTGGATCTCTAAAGGTATATATCTTTATATTGTCAGATACATGCTTCTTCTTCTTATTATTACGAGCTAAGCAATCAGGCAATAATAAATACTTTTTCTGTAGAGAAATTCTTCGAAGAAAACCAGGATGGATTCTTCTCATAAGGAACATTGGAACTGGCTTGATCAGTGGATGGAAGAGCGGTATTGGGACGGCCGAGAAGTTTCAAAGATTGTGGAAGATGATAAAAATGCAAAGATACTGGAAGTTGACACCGGCAAACCCACAAAGTTCAATTCAAAACGTAAAAACAACAATTTCTTATCATCTTCATCCCCCATGAACTCTGATCAAAACACTCGTAGCTTAACTGCCGCTCCTGATTCCCCTTCCAAAGACTCCACCACTGCTCAGCTATCCATTTCAAGCCCATCCTCATCAGTTGATATGCGGCGGTCTCTGAGCCCTCTCAGATTCCCAATTGTCGAGCCAGAGGATTTGGGAGGAAGCCCTCAGTTCTTCTCTGCAACTTCGCTGGCCGGAAGCTCGAGGAGGGTGGCATTAACACCTGCAAAGAGTGATTACTCCAGAAGCTTGTTCAGTGGCTATTCAGATCACCCGAACTACATGGCGAACACCGAGTCGTCAAGGGCGAAAGCTCGGTCGCAGAGTGCGCCAAAGCAGAGGCCGGAGTTCGAGAAATTGAGCTCAATCAAGAGGTTTTCCGGCCAGGGTTTGGGTGGGCAGAAGTCTTCGTTACATGCCAAGTTTGTTAATAAGGCATACCCAGGATCTGGAAGGCTGGATAGATTAGGGATGCCTATGAGGATGTGAGTTATTTGTCTAACAAGTTGCAGAATATTATTATCAGAGAAATTGTGAAGTTCTTTTTGTTTCCTACTTGTTTCTTGGCTTTTCTCGGCTGTGTTTGCCTGTCTTGCTGCAGTAGTAGTCTAGTCCTCTTTTGTAAACACTTCTTATTAGCTTGTAAGTTTGCTTTCTGAAATTACTGTCTAGTGATTCTGGAATGGAGGGGAGGGCAATAGTGATATCTATTGCTGCTGCTTTGCTATGAAATTTGTATGTCTCATAGAGGAGTGATCTATGTTGTTGATGCATGGTAAATGACAATATTTAAGTTTTGAATTTGGATGCTTTCATATTTGATTTTTATGACTTTATAAAAAATATGTAGTTGTTGTTGGGAAAGTAAACAATGCATCTAATACAACAAGAAAGAGAAAATCTAGTAGAAGTAATATTAATGTTTTGGGTGTTAGATGTGTAAATAGCATAAAATAAAGTGGTATGTATGTAAAACCCCCTTGATTTTTATAACTTTATAAAAAATATGTAGTTGTTGTTGGGAAAGTAAACAATGCATCTAATACAACAAGAAAGAGAAAATCTAGTAGAAAATAAAGAACGTTAAAATTTTATGTGAAAAAATTTAAAATTAGAAAAAAAAATCATAGAGTCACATCACATCAAGTAATTCACTATGAAAATTTAGAATAAAACATCAAGTAATTCACTATGAAAATTTAGAATAAAAGGTTAAATATTTTCTCTCTCTCTCCTTATCTCTTTTCACTTCACAATTCATTCACTATAGAAATGATGAAGTTGCACAGCTTGAAACTCTCCAAGAGATGCAACATTTTAAGCTGAACATGAAAAATGAAAAAGAAAATTGTGCTAGGTTTGGAGTACCGAGCCATTCCACTTATTGTCTCCAGCTTAACTGGCAATGCATCAGAGTTGGGGTTTGGAGCGCCACGGCATTTCATTCTCTGCCTTCAAAGCGATAAGAGCGTACAACATCATAACGCTGTATGATCGTAAAGAAAAAAAAATAGGGTCAAAACTCTCAAATAAAAGTTGGGGAAGCAGCCCCCCCCCCATCAACATAATCAAATCATACATAACAAGGGGTGAAACCAAGTCAAGTTGACATGAGCTCACAATCGATCTTATCATGTTTCGAGTTCGAGCTTGAGTTGAATTTTAGCTCGATTTGATTATCGAGCTCGAGTTCGACCATAAGTAAGTTCAGCTCGATTACTCGTGAGGTGCTCACTGGTATGGGCTTGGATGTGGATGCGGGATCTTAGGGCGGACTTGGACTCGGATGAAGGTGTGGGATTGTGGGAGGAATGGCAGGGCGAACACATACGCGGGATCGCGGGGCGAAATGGTGGGGCGGACACGGACTTTGGAAGGCAAGCCCGGACGCGAGAAAGTTGACTCTGACGCAGACATGAGATTGCACGTGAAAGGTTGGCACAAACATGGAATGAGCAAGCTCGGACGTGGAATCGAGCCGCTCGACAAGTTGGTTTTAGTCTCACGAGTTGAGTTCAAGCTCTGATTTGGCTCGCGAGTCGAGCTCGAGTTAGGCCTGGCTCAAGCTGAACTCAAATAATTTGCATTCCTACACATAACTAACCATTATGTTAAAGCATACTTAGGGTTTTATTTTCAAATTCGATAACTAGACTTCCTAAGGGGCTTTTTAGTTGGATGTAAAATGAATGCAATATAAAGTAAATGCTTGAGACTGTTTGGTTCTCTGTAAAGTGATGTAGAGGAACTATTTTTTCTATTTGGTTCGGTGTATGCAGAGTAGAGTAAAATCAAAGGCCCATTTGGATGAGACCTTCAAATAAGCATCTGGTGTGCCTATTCTTTAAAATGAATTTATTAGTCATATTGAAGTCTCCCAACTGATCAAACACACAAGACACACCTTGCAACTCTAGGTTCCCACACGAGGTGGTTCGGTCATCCTACGGCTATAGGTTCCCGCACGGTGTGGCATTCCCTGTGGCTCCAACTGTTTGGTTGTCGCCGCTTCGATTAGGCCGTCATAAGCGAAGATTATCCGTGATACCGAAGGGATGAAGAAGCACAAATAGGGAAAGTCATCGTCAATGGGCGAAAAAGCACACAAATGGGAGAAAGATAGTTACATTCTCAATAAGCGGCTTGAAGAGGGAAGGGAGCCTTATCGAAGGGGCTCGAAGGGAATGTCATCGAAGGGGCTTAAAGGGAGCATTGTCAAAGGACTCGTATAGTGAAGGGAACACTGTTAAAGGGGCTCAAAGGGAATGTCGTCTCGGAGGCGAAGGAAGGAGGTGCAATCGAGCATAACTCTACCTCACGCGACAGGAAGGGAACTTCGTCGAAGGGGCTTGAACAGGGAACTCCATTGAAGGAGCGAAGTCCAACATGAAGGGAATGTCATCAAAGGAGCGAAGTCCTCATCGTCGAAGAACTCGAGTTTCCCTCGACCGCGTCTCATATATTCCTTTTTAGCTCGAATTTGAGCACTTCCTTTACCAGCATAATGAACTACGGCGGAGAGTTCAAAATACAAATGTGAATTCATTTACTTGCTGTGTCAAACCAAACAGCGACAAAATTAAAATGCCGGTACTTATTTTACTTTATATTCACTTTGTTGCCAACCAAACAACCCCTAAATAATTTTAAAATATTATAGTAAAAACTTATGTTTAAAATTTGTTAATACAAAATAAAACCCAAGAAAAAAATTTATCAACTTGCAATTGAATGGTTACATTCCAAGCAGTAAATCTCAATTCAATATGATAGCTTCCTCTGGATGCTTTCTACCAAGAATCCATTTATAAGGGGATGTACATAACTATTCCTTAATTTATTTATTTATTTATTTATATCCATTAATTAATTAATTAATTAATGTAACTAGATCAAAAGAAGATGTGTTATGCTTTGAAATAAATTTTCATATATGCATTTATGTGGCTAACTACCTCTTCATTTTTAAGTTTTTTTTTTCTTTTTTTTATAGAACGGAGGTATCTACCACTATCACTCCCTTTAGAAGGATTTATTATTCTGTGCAGAGTCCGGATGGTGTCCGGAGACCAATAAAAATGTGCCACGTCACTCAAAAAATATACCGCGCTCGGTACGGAGGGTGCAACCGGACAGGAGAACCGTCCGATGTCCGCACAGAATAATAACTCCCTTAGGAGGTGCTTGAAGAAGTAACTAATTGCTTGGCGAGCCTACCAGCAACCAGCCCCACACTTGCAGGGCCCGCAATTATTTTCTCCTCACTTAAGGGGTCGCACCGCATGATAGAGAATTCGAATATGGTTCGGAGGGTTGGGGGGGTTTCCAACCATCCCAGCCCACCAACCCAGTTAAACCTGATGGAGTTTAAGTACTATTTCCCAATAGTACTTATACTCATCGTAAGTTCAAATCTAATTTTCGTCTTAAACATTAGTGGAACGTCATTCTTTTCCGACGAGATTTTCTCTCTAGAGTGTTAATTGTAATTTTGTTATTTTTTTTGTAAAATCTTTAGGTAATAATGTTTTGGTTAAAAAAAAGTATTAAAATAAAATTTGAAATGGCTTATTTACTTTAGTTATTATTTTATGATAAAAAATTATTCTCTTAAAAGAATAATAATTTGTGATTAATTCAGGAGTATTAAAAAGTTATCATTACCATGTAGGTTCGTTAATAGAACAACATAGTAAATGAGAGTGATTGATCGGTTTCACCAACTATTAATTGCCATCACCCACAGCCACTTAGTGCTTAGACAAAATTTGAATAATTTTTATGTGAAGAACACATTCCCAGAAATCGCGCGAATTTTGGCGCCATTCTCATAGCTGTTTGGGTGAGTGAAGAGCTTTATTTATTTATATTTATTTTATAAACTTCTGCAACAATTTTCAAATTATTTATTAAGTAAAGTTTTGTTTGAGATATTTTTTTTTATTTTAAGTTTTTTAATTTAAATTTTTTTTGAAAAATATTGAAAAAAATAATAGTAAAAAATTATCACAATAAAACTTAAGAATTTGATTTTGTTTGAGATAGTTTTTTTAATATTTTCAAAGTTGTCCCAAATATGCAATATTTTTCTTGCAACTTTTTTTTAATATAATTTTTTTTAATTAAAAATTTTCTCATATAGTTTTTTTTTTTTTGAGAGGGCAAAAACATTGAGGATGCTCAAAACATTGAGGATGCTCAGGTGGATGAGTGACTTTACCCTTAGAGATATGACACGAATTGAGCATATACGTGAAAAGGTTGGAGTAGTTCCAGTAGAAGATAAAATTAGAGAGAGTCGCCTTAGATGGTTTGGTCACATAAAACGATAGCCTTCCAATGACCCGTTTAGGAGAGTAGACGTATTAAATTTGACTTATGTTAAGAAAGTTAGAGGCAGACCTAAAAAGACTTGATTAAAAAATATTAGGAATGACTTTTCTTTATTAGATTTAAACGAGAGTTTGACTTTTAATAGAACACAATGAAGAAAAAAGATTCATGTAGCCGACCCCACGTAGTGCGATAAAAACTTGATATCATTGTTATTGTAAAAACATTGAGAAACGACCAAGCTGACAGGTAAAACGGAAGAGATGTGGGAGGCCATGAGGCCGATGTCACCTTTGAAAGAGAGTGATTGGACACTTAGCTCGAAGGATGAGGTGGGCTTATACGTCAATGCTAAAGAAATGCAAAAAGATAAAATTGCTGCCCAGTCCTTTTCTGATCCTCTGGATTTTGCAGCTCTTCCTTAGCGATTTCGGACTAAGTAACAAGTTACCTTTATATTCTTGGAGCAGCTGAGATGGGAGGATTTATCCTCTTTAAAATGCTTGACTTCGCCTACCTTTCTGAAGGCTACAGAACAAAAAGGGTCGTTTTGCTCTTCATTTCTTTTCAAGAATTAGCCTCATTTTTTTTGTGGGATAAGTAAACTTCTAACTTAAAATTTTTTGACTGATAGTCAAAGTTTCTAATCAATAGAATAATATGAGCTGAGTGTTGCCCTCATATTACCTAAGCCTTCTTTGAAATGATATGTTTTTTTAATTCTTACTATAGATATTCATATTTCAATGTGAGGGTGGACCTATGCTTATGTGAGGGTGGGCACCTCAAAATTTTAATTAAATAGTTTAAGTAAGAGTATGTTAGTTATTTCTCCATATGTAATCCTAGTTTGCCAAGCAAAGGGAAAAAAATACTGCATAACGGCAAAAATTTTTTGGCCCGCGGTTGCAAACGTTCACCAATGCTTGTCAGCCGTGTCTATCTCCAACACAGGAAGTATTTTTGAGTT